TATGGGTTGTACTTCTCATTGTTGGACTTTACTCTTGGTGGACACAAAGTAACTCTGGAGAAAAGATGTTTGAAGCTGGCTAACGAAGTGAGTTACTTCTCGGATTCTAGCCCTATAGAAATAGATACATCTTGCTTTTAGGTGACGTTTTTACAATTTATAAGTATTAAATAATGAAAGGCATGTAATGCCTAAAGAAAATGGTATCAATAGAAAATGTACATATTTGACCTTAGTGTCGATTTAAGGCCAACATCTCCATATGTGAATTGCGAGAAGTAACTAATTTTGTCAGCATGCCTCTCATATCACCCCAGATATGTAGGTCATGCTGGTGTGGACTGATGGGTAATTCGAGGATTTTTCCCAGACTTTGTTTTTCAGAGATCATCGATTTTATAAAGGCCATTGGCCTTTATAGAAAATTGTGAATAACATTGTTTAAAATTCTAAATGCTATTTAAAAAGTTATTTTGAATGAAAAATTTATTTATATCAATTTTTTTATATTTTAGTAGAGGTGTTGACCAGAATCAGGCTGTGCAGTGAACTGTTGCAAATGGAACCAACTTTTTTTCGCACGCTCATATTATCTTATGCAGTTGCGAGCGCTGTAGAACACTTACTAAAACTAAAACAAAAGACTGCTAATTCCTAAGTTGGTAGTTTATTATTTTGACTTATCTTGATTCCTATGTAGGGAAGATATATGTGAGGCAGCGTGGTGGAATCAGGCTCTCGTCAATTTTTGGGCAAGTAGAGTTATTGGCATCACCTTAAAGCTTGTTCACTTGTCTTTATTTGGATGAAAAAAATATCCATTTATCTTAAATATTAGTCGAGATATTTGCAATTGAAGGAGGTGGGAGTCACCTGTTTTCAGAGGTGGAATTAGTGAGAAAATGGCCGCCAAAAATTGTTATTTTCTTAGCTTAAGAGCCTGTGGTAAATGAAAATTTACATTTTTGGTGCCTTTTATCAACGTTTTTCAGACAATCCACGCAGAACTGAGTTCTTAAATGGGCATGAAAGGTGTTGAGCCAAAAAACAAAAAACTGATAAAAATTCACAAACCTGCGGAAAAATGCAGGTTTCTGCACTTTGGTTATTTTGACGAGAGCCTGATTCCACCACGCTCCCTCATATATTGTCTTTCTCATTCTTTATTATTTTTTTTCCTGGGATGTATCTCACACAGCTGGTGTTGACCCTGACAGTGTGGGTGGTTGGCGGGTGCTCTGGTGTGGTTTGCTCCTTCTTTCCTATCGAACATCTATCGTCCTTATCTCCCCTTCTTCTTTCAGAATGTTTGTTACTCTCTTCTAACTCCTCTAATCTTCTGGCGCTCATATGACATTATGCAGTTGCGAGCGCAGTAAAACCTTTACTAAAACTAAACTGCCCCTGACAGTACAACTGTGACAGACATAACCAAAGCGGGAGCTGGTGGCGTCCTGAAGGATTTTATTTGTAGTGAGGGATGGGGTCATGGTCATGAAAATACCACCAACTGAAGAATTTTACAAGAAACCACTTCTTTCATTTTGAATTTTAGACGAAAAGAGCAGGGCTATGTCAGGCCTGCCACCCTTCTCGATTTTGTCGGGAATATGTAATGTTTGACCTATGATAAGAGATATGTGCACGGCCTGAACTTTTTCTTGATGGAAACTTTATTTAACAAATGAGTATGCTATTTTATATGATGTGATGTGGGCCATTGGCTTTAAATACTGAATAAACCTACTTACTAAACTTACTGACAGGTTGGCGATTCCCGTGAGATCCAGTGGGTCTTCAGCGATCTGGATGTGGCCCAGGATATCTCTGGTATTCAGACGGCCCCGGGCGTTTTGACGATCCAGGCGCGGGCTCCGCTCGTGTCAGCGTTCAGAGATTATTTCACCCAACTGGAGCTGAATCCGAGGACCAGCAACCCGGATAATCCATGGTTTGAAGACTGGTGAGTTTGTTTTAGTCAACACAATAAGGTCATAGAAGTGCCGAAGGTTAGAGGTGTTATGTAAAGAATAACAAACACAAAAACGAAGGAGGGGAGATAAAGACGATAGATGTTTGATAGGAAAGAAGAATCAACCCACACCGTAGCACGCGCCAACCACCCTCAGACGAGTGAGTAACCGTGTGGGTATTTATGGGCTATGCTCTCTTTTATACTCGCGAGTAACCCTGTTGATATAAAAAAAAATTAAATTATATTTTTTTGTAGCTCTTTTACGACGCTCGCAACTGCATTAAGTCACATGAGCGTGCTGTGGGTATTTCTGTGCTAAAAAATTCTCTTACGCAGGTGAATAACACTATGGGTATTTCTGGGGTCGGCTTTCTCTATTTGATAATGCAGGTGATTGGAGGGTGCCTTCTGGTGGACCCTGCTTTTTCTCTTTTCTTCTGTGTTTTTTCTGTGTCTGTCTTACCTTTTTATCTGTACTAAAAGACTATAATTTACCTGCATTATTACTTCTATATGTTCCCATGCTAGACCTCAGGGATAGTCAGCCACTGGTTTTTCTGGGGGGTGGGGGGGGGAAGTGGAGATGAAAGCAGATGACAGAACCTGTCTAGAGAACAGAAAAGGAAGTGGAAAGAGAACATTTTAGAGAAAAAAATTTATCAGTGTCTCGAACGCGAGACCTGTTGAATGAGAGGCAAACTCTGTACCTCTAGACCACGAGAGCCCACCTCCCCCCCTTTCTTCCCCCACTCCCACCTGCATGAAATAACTGCTTTTGCATCATCAAAGTTTCCTTACTCAAACTCAACACCAGCAATAACAACAAAGCCAATGACAATATGATGACAAAAGAGACAAGAAGGAAAACAGCAACAACAACAACAACAACAACAACAACAACAACAACAACAACATTACTTTCAGTGCTATTTCCCCCCCCCCCCCCCCCATTCCCAACTGTACTGCCGTGCCAAGGCAGACCGACGTATCTGCAAAAATGATTAATTTTTGTATCTTTGTTTAAATGGACGCCTATACCCATTCTGCATCTTGTGTCAAAGGCAGGAAGACGTATCTACACTACAAATAGGATATTTCACTATGGCAAACAGATGTTAGTGAAGGGCCATGCCCATATTTCCAATGGCAGCGTGGTGTAACTCATAATCATAAAAAGTGCAGATACGTCACTCTGCCTTGGCACAGCAGTATAGAACAGCTCTATCAACGTCAAACAAATTGTGTTTATCTTTCCCCGTCAGGTACGAAGAGAACTACGGATGTACCCTGAGAGGCGGCAGCAACCCCTGTCCCACGAGGACGCTCTCCGACCTGAAGAACAAGTTTGCCCAGAGCCCGTGGGCCGTGGCCACCATGAAGGCCGTCTTTGCCTACGCCGAAACCATTCGCTCGGTGTGCTCGCCGTTTGGTGGTGGTGTCTGTCCTGCGCTTCAGACCATGAGTCCCTCCGACTTCCACAACCGGCTGAAAAACATAAACTACCAGTTCCCGTCTACCTTCGGCATTTCGGAGCTGAGGAATCAGTTTATCAAGTTTGGTGCTAACGGAGACCTGGAGGTGCCCGAGTATACGGTTTACAACTACAACAACCGGGGTGGAAGTTTTGCGTTTGAAAGCGTAAGTTGGTCAAAATAATTTTTATGTTAATAGTTTTGTTTGAATTGATACTACTGCTGCTGCTACTACTACTACTACTACTACTACTACTACTACTACTACTACTACTACTTCTACTACTACTACTACTACTACCACTACCACTACCACTACCACTACCACTACCACTACCACTACCACTACCACTTTGCATAGTGCATTACCCTGCTCTACAGCAGGCTCTCTGCTCTTTACACTATATTATTGAGGTTGCAGTGTCTGGAGTATGTGGTTTGTAACAACAATCAGGATGGAAGTATTGGGTTGAAAAATGTTGGTTTTCAAAATAATTTTTATGCCAGTAGCTTTGTTTGGTTAGAGCTAGAGTAAAGGAGTATGATTTTTAACTCTTGTCAGTCAGAATTAATGTCATGGGTTTTCCTGTACAGCCCAAGTTAACTCACTCAACCCTTAGCTTACACTTGTGCGTTGTCAGCTCTCCCTGGAAATTTTTACCACTTTTTGAAAAATTGAAATAAATACTAAATTTTAACATATCCTACCCGGTACACATTTTATTCAGACCTATATTTGTGGGGATTAAAAGTTTGAAGGCAAAAATATCATAGTTTGTATGCAATACTGTGTGGAAAAAGGTCTGTGTACAGAGTCAAAAAGTAAACAAAAAGTGAAGAAAGGAAGTGTATTCAAATTTCACACCCCCTCACATAGTTCACAAATATAGCTTTCTTTGTTCTAAATTTGGGCTTGCACTTCTGGTCATAGTCTGTTTCAAACGAAAAATGGTTACTCGTCCAATTAGACTACTGTCTGCTTCACACAAAAGTAGTGTTTTCGGTCACGCTAAGCGAAATTTTCCGTACCGATACTGTCGACATTAGGGTTGGAGCGTTGCGCGTGTGCTCATATTGATATTATCGGCGTTAGGACTGGATGAGTTAACTCTGTGTTGTCATTTGTAGACATTGTGTAAGTTTCTGTATCACAGACAATTTCGGATCTAGATTTACCTTGTTTACCAAGTAAATAAAATTAGCCACCGGCATCCTAAGCGAAGAAGATAGTAAGATTGAATGCAGAAAATGCAGGTGTATTGTAGAGGAACTTGATGAACAATCTTGTTTTGGAAAGTGACCATGGTTCTAGATCAAAATTTGTGTGTGTGACACAACGCACAACCACAGGAAAAGTGCACCTTGAAGACACGAATTCTCATAAAGCGTTGAAGTGTCATCTTGTCTATTTTTAACTCGACCAATGTTATTAACAAAGATTTTGAGGACTAGATGGACATGTGTATTTTTTTTTTAATTAGGGGAGGTGGAAATGACACTCTTAGTGTTGTTCTAACGTTGAACTGTTTGAATGAAAGGAAATGACACAGAGTGTGTCATTCTGGCCAACAGGTGTTTACTACAATGACCAAAGTGGAAGTTTTAGGTTTTGAAAATGGTTGCTTTTAAGGACAAGCGGGCTAACCCAGATTTCGGGGGTTTCCAGAAATCGTGACCGACACCAAAAGTAGGCATTGCCCTACCTATAGGAGAAGTTTGGTTTCATTGGTGTGTGTATTTGTTTGGTTATAGAGAAAACTCTCCTTGTCTTTTAAAGAAACTGGACAAGGGGCAAAAAATTTACCTTCGATTTTCTCAAAACAGCATTTTTTCTGGATAGCCCCCTTGTGCTTAAAAGCGACCAAATGTAACTTTTTCCGAATAATTTTTACATTAATGGAGCTGTGTCAAAAAGGAGTTTTAGCGAACATTAATAAATTCATATAAAAGACAGCCTGACCATTTGAGCTTTAAAATTTGAAAGCCCTTATATCTCTTGCTGTGAAATGTTTGTCATTTTTTAGAAATAGTGTAACAGAAAATGGTTCAAAGTTGCTTCGAGTAGGTTTTGAATTTGTTTTTTGTCATGCGAAATAATTTTTTTCAAATCTTCAGGTGGGCATATATGAATCGAGCGGTCTCAAGATGTCAGTTGCTCCAATGGTGTATGATGTACTAAGGACCACAGAAATGATCACGCTTACAAAGGACTGTGCCACGTTCGGTTGCGACACCTGCGTATTGCCTCAGCGTCGCGTGACCTTGCGCTACCAGCCGGGCAGTGTTGTCATCGCCTCGCTGGTCGATGCCCACAAGGCGGGCCGGGCCCCTTTCACCTGCGGGCAGGGCTCGGCGTCGGCTCTCACGGCCCTTGTGGCCGCCGAGTGGGCTGCGGGCGAGTTCAAGAGGAATAACCCCGGCAAGCTGCGTGGTGTGAGCCTGGGTAGTTTGGTGGCGGACGTCTGCCCCGACAGCTACGTTTCCGACGGCTTCCTCGCCGACCTGCTCAGTGGCAACAACCGCCTCATGGACTCCTCGGGCCTCATTATCCGCCCGGACAACATCCAGGCTTTCGTGGACCACACAGGTAATAATGATAATAAGTGACATTTTATATATATAGTGCTCAACCCCGATTAAAGTACACAGGCTCTGAGCGCTTTACCATACAGTTCAACGTACAACATTAACATAAACATACCTCCCTAGTTTTACACTTTTGGTGTAATTATTACGCAAAAACGGCCCCGATTACGGAAGTACACAAATGTGTAATTTTAATTAATTACGCCAAATAACGGAGGTACAGCGCCGACTCAGGCTTGGACGAGGCTTGTCGCCGGGCTGATTTGCAATGATCTCCCCTTCGCTTTGCAGTTGTGCGCACATGACGTGCGATAGGTCCGTTATTAATTAGCAACATCCGGTTCAGGCCTCTTCTTAATGAGTGCGCAAAATTTGTCCAAGTCAGAGCATCCTGAAATCTACCTGTGGATGTGTGATTACACTTTTTTGTCTCAAATTACTCAAAAATCTTCTTTTCTTTTAGTCATTTTTGGATCTTGAACTAGGGATGTATGCATAAAACGAGTTCTGACTAAAAGAAAATCACTCCAGATATTCATCTTATTAATTTAAAGACAAAAACGACTTCAGCTGACATTTGAATAAATCAGAAGATTTGATCAGGTAGGGGATGCACTGACTACACTGCTGCAGGGAATATGGGTGGTTGGTGGGTCGGTTTTTCTGCTGTGGTTTGCTCCTTCTTTCCTTATCAAACGTCTATCGTCCTGATCTCTCTTCCTTCTTTTTTTTGGTGTTTGTTACTCTCTTGTAACAGCTCTAGTCTTCGGCACTTATATTACCTTATTGTGTTGTAAACGCCTTAACACTTTGCAGTCTCTTGGTGCCGGTAAAAATTATCCGTTCCGGTCACCTGCGCCGTGCCCGAAAAGTCCGTTGCAGTCACTCTCCTGACTGGGTGACCAGATGGGGTATTTTGTACTGCTGGCTGTGTGACTGCAAAGTGTTAAAACTTTTACTAAAACAAAAACAGGTAGGGGTTGGGCTGGCTGTAAGGTGTTTGCCTCAACTGGTACAGCAGCTGAAAGGAATCAAGGTCATTCCCCACATTTCTTCTAAAGGTAGATGTGACTGTTTCCTTCTCCTGCTGCTGCCACTCTCCTCTCTGGCTCTCTCTCCCACACACTCTCTCTCTTTCTCTCTCTCTCTCTCTCTCTCTCTCTCTCTCTCTCTCTCTCTCTCTCTCT